AGACTAAAGTCTACTTCCTCAGATGCATTTGGTCTCACTTGCACCAAATGCATCTGAGGAAGTCTACGAAAGTTCACGGTGCCAACTTCTTCTTTTTTTTTTCAGTTAGTCTCAAAGGTGCTGCAAGATCTCTCTGCATAGAGACTAAGGGCCTGAACAGACTGCCAGAAATAATCCAGTTTGAGACCACTTTAACTGTCCTGGCTCAATGCTAGAGAATCAAGAGAATTGTATTTTTTCCTGAGACATTGAGCCTTCTCTGTCAGAGAGCTCTGGTGCTACCTTAAACTACATTCCCCATGATTCCCTACCACTGAGCCAGGGCAGTTAAAGTGGTCTCAAACTGGATTATTTCTGGCAGTCTGTTCAGGCCCTAACATGGCTATATCTTTGAATTCTATCTGTCTACAAAAGTGAGCATGCCTAGCATCGACAGCTATACCTTGAGTGTCCTTCAGTCAATGAATGATTGCTTTATTCCATCCATTGCCACTGATTTCTGTTTGTTCTCTTCCAGATTTCTTCCAGCACGGGAACCACTGGATCTTCTCTTTCGACATGACGGCCATTTCCAGCAGCTCTGATGTGAGGCTGGCTGAGCTCCGAGTCCACCTGCGGTCCTTCTCCCATGCCGACAACGTCACTGTGAGCATTTACCACAGCCGTGATGACGCATGCCCCAGAAACTGGACCTGTAAGGACAAGCTCTTCCTTGGTTCTTTCACCAGCAGCTCCTCCGTCAATGATTCCTCATGGAAAGTCTTCAACGTCACCAACTTGCTCCGCTTCTGGCTCCAACAAGGGGTGCCATCAGGCAAGGACACTCTCGAAGTTCTGGAGCAGGAATGGATGGAGGAACACCTTGCGGAGTGCAATGGTGGAGGAGAAACTGGTGAGTCCCAGAACCAAAGCTGTGGCCAGAATAACTCCAGAGAAGCTCAGCAAGTCGCGACTCATAATGTGATGGATAGAGTCCTCCTAGTTGTCTTCTCCAAAGATCAAGAGCTGATGGAGGCCTCTCGGGGCCCAAGTCTCATCAGGACAGTGGAGATGTCCAAGCACGTTATATTGGACAAATCTTCCATGGAAGCTAGAGGCCATCGCCACCGTCACCGTCACCGGAGGAACAGGAAACAATTGCAAAGAATTAAGGAGAGCAACAACACCCACACTTCCAGCTCCGGGGAAGAAAGTCGGCCTCTATGCAGGAGAGTTGATATGATGGTGGACTTTGAGAAGACTGGCTTTGGAAAATGGATTGTGCAGCCCAAGAAGTACAATGCATACCGGTGTGAAGGGGAATGCCCAACACCGGTAGATGAGACCTTTAAGCCAACAAATCATGCATATATGCAGGTAAGCATGAACCACATCCTGAAGTTCTTTGTGGATATATTGTTAACTGAGTAACCAGGGTCTGAAAAAAGCATAGGTGACGTGGTCATTTATGCATAAGCAAAAAGGGAGAGATGCATCTCTCACCCACCGACACATACAAAATGGCAAAAGCATTTGTGTCAAGTTTGCATGTGCTGTTTTTAGAAGCACTTCTTCATCAATTATTTCCCAATATTGTCTATTGACATAAAAACCAAGAGAGCATGCCATCTGTTGACTTCAAATCTGTTTGGGAATAAATGCTACCCCTTCAATAGAAATATTACGTATCTCCTGATGATGGAAAAGACTAGGTGAGCTGTATATCTGTTCAGTCTACTGTCTAGGTTCCTACTATGAGCCACCTTGAATCCCATTTTGGGAAAAAGGTGGGATGTAAACCAACAAATAAATAAATAAATAAAGGATGGCCAGCTTCAAGACCTCTGCTTTCCCAACTTCTTATGGGTATTTATATGTGAGTTGGATTTAGACCAGATTGGCATTCAAAAAGAGGACACCTTTTAAAATAAGTCTGTCTTCTGCCAGCTGTTCAAGTAAAGGACAATCCTCTGTAAAATAGTGGTATATTTGCACTTCATGATTGTCCCAGTTTGATGCCAGTTGACACTATGGAATTCTACTTTGGTGGGATACTTAGAATTCTCTGCTAGAGAGCTCTAGTCTACTTCCATAACCTGCAGCACTAGAACTCCTAAGTAGGGAATTCTCAGCTCCTCAGCAAACTATAAATCCTAAGATTCCAGAGGATGGAACCATGACGGATCTTCTCTATGCATATGAAAGAGAGGAGTTTTCAAAAACTGGGCATATGATTCTACATCCTCAGTTACAAACTGTCTCTTTGACTGCTTCCTGGTCTGAGGGCCATAAGACAAAATGAGGCGGCCACTTCAAGCAGCAGATGGTAGGTGTTACGAAAAGGCAATAAATAATTGGTTATCGACGTTGTTTTTATGTATTTTTACTGCCAGAGATATGGAAAGGTCTTACACCAAAACAACGTGCTTGATTTTAATGCTTACCTTGCTTCAGTTGGCAAAAGCATCTTGTGCCAGCCCTACCCGTTCTTCAGTCTCCATGGCTGATGGTGGTGGTGTTGGGAATGAGATTCTGAGAACTGTATGCAACACTTCCAAGCTTTGTGTATAATACTTCCCCCTTTTTCTTTTTTATCTCTTCACAGAGCTTGCTGAAGTTATACCAGCCCAGCCGAGTGCCTTGCCCATCCTGTGTGCCAGTCAAACTGAGCCCTCTCTCCATGCTTTACTATGAAGAAAGTGGGGTGAAGGTCCGTCACCATGAAGACATGATCATTGATGAATGTGGCTGCCATTGACATTTATGGGCTTGCTTGGTTGTCTGTGGGGCTTCTAGCTACCACCTCCACAAGATCGGAACTATCTTTCCTTTTGCAACAGAAACCCAGAGCACTGTCCTTCAATACAGGCAGGAAGAATCTTTTTCAACAGATGGAGATCAAACTATATCATGGCCACATAATGGAAGGCAGAGTAAGGTAGAGGGACATAACTTTCTTCTGGGGTTTTGAAGCCAAAGTTGTGTTGTGGGACACAAGATTCTTATGGGACTGAACCTGCTGTGAAGAGGATCATCACAAAAAGCATGGTCCTCAGAGCTGGTTCTAGGTTTCAGGGTCGGGAGGGACAGAAACAAGTTGCATACGCTGTCATTTTCATTTCCCTACAATGCTCCTGAGAAGGTGTCATTCCAGAGTAACACGGAAAATAAAAATCATTAGCCTAAGACAGCTGCAAATTTGGTTTAAGGAAGGCACTACCTAAGCAGAAATCTGTTGTAGATCCCTGTTGTAGATCCCAGTTGTCTGGCAGTAGATTCAAGGTGGGCAAGTTAAACTTTGAGAAAGTTGCTTTTGGACTAAGGTTCCCTTTAGGCTACCTTTTGCGATTCCAGGAATTTTAGTTTAATCAAGTAACTTTCCCAAACTCTGGGGCAAGAGAAAATACCTCTTCACACTTAGAGCTGGGGGAAAATTTTTGTTGGGGAACTATATCTCCCAGAATTCCCCCAGCCATCATGGAAGGATTTTGACAGTTATAGTTTTAAAAACCAACTTTCCCAAGCTCTGCGCACAATTTGTAGAGCTCTCTGTCCCAGATGTAGATGATGGCAGCTGGCACTGAGAGTTTTAAGCAAACTGTTAGAAAGATTTATTGATGAGTATGAGGCCTATTGATGGTTGTTGGCTATGACAGATGTACAGGAA